CTTAATTCCTGCTTCAACACATCTTCAACCAGATATGGCTCCACCAACCCACCCTAGATCCCTGCCTAGAGCTTCCAGTGTCCCTTTGCCACCTTTTTAAGCAAACAAGAGGGGGATCTGTATTAAATCTGATGTTCTCTCTAACTGATGCCACCATAAGCTGTTCAGCGCCCACCAAACACAGCAGCACTTGGACCCAAGCCGAAGCCACCAGACTCTCCTGAGAACATCCGAGGTAAGGCCATGCCTGTGCCCGAGGACAGGGCAGGACAGATTTCTTCCCCAGTGTCCGTAGGCCAGGATAACCCACCCATCCTCAGCATGACCCACCATTGTACAATTTGCTCTCCTACTCAGAGGGTCCACCTCAGCTCAGTTCTGCTCATCCAACCCCATGGAGATCTTTTGGGAGGTGTGTTTGGGGCTGGGATGGCTGCATAGGTGTCCCTGGGCCCCAGAAGAGCCCATGGGCACCTCAGCTGCTTTGGAAAGAGGTTTCTTGCCACGGGGTGAGGGGCACGCACCTTCCCCTGGTCAAGATTAATTGGCCGACTGGCTGCTCTGGCCCAACAGGGCCAAGCCTCGTTAGCAGATCACCCTGCTCCCAACACCCCATGGAGCCTCCTCACGGCCACGGCCCCCTCCTCACAAGGGATTGGTACAACCATGGGGGCTTCTATGCAGGGATATGGCCCCTGAGCCACCTGCAGCACCCACTGCAGAGATGTGGGGCTTTGGAGCACCCCAGGGACCCACTGAGCTGAGCTGCTCCTTCTCCTCTGGGCTGCCCCACTTCCCTCACGGTGGGGACAACAAGCCCCAGTCCCCCTGTGCTGCATGGTCCTCTGCTGAGTGCCTGGGAGGACAGGCTGCCGTGTTCCGTGCTCAGCCATTGTGCCAGGGCATGGAGGAGGCCGTGGTGGCAGAGCAGGGCCTGGGCACTGTGATGGCCTGTCATGGCCACAGAGGCTGGAGAGGCCGTGTTGGTGGAGGAGGGTCTGGACACTGTGCCAGCCCGCCACGGGACCAGGGGAAGCCATGGGGACCTGAGGTGGCCCCGGTGCCACAGCAGCCTCACAAATGGTGTCAGAGGCAGGAGTGGGCCCGCTCCGACCATGGCTGAGCCCTGGGGGTGGGGAGCACGGCCACCTCCTGCCATCGCTATCACTGTGGGGATGCAACCAGCACTGGTGAGATGTAGCTGGCAATGCCCAGCCAGCACCTCCCCAAGCACCACAGCGCTGTGCAAGGGCTTGCACGCCACAAAAACTGGTGGGACCCATTCCTAAACACCCTGTGGGATCTCAGCACTGCTCAACCCCTTACTGGGGTTACCAAAGCACAAAATGCCCCAAGCACCAAACCCCATCAGATTGATTTAGAAGCGACAGCCTTTACCCCCAGCGCCCCAGTCATTCTGTGTGGGGCAGAGGTCTGGCACAGCCCTGCGGAAGCGCCGTCCCGGCTGGGGCAGCCCCTTACCCTGAGGGATTATCCCAGCCCAACCATGCTGGGCTGGTCTTAGGAGCCCTGTCCCCACCACAGCACTCAGATACGTTTTATCCTCTCACGTAGCGGCTCCGAAGAGCAAAGCAGGGAGCACAGCACACTCTGCAGGCAAGAGGCACAGGAAGAAGCCAGGTACGTGCTGGCAGGGACAAGCTGGGCTGGAGCGGCGCGTGCTCGGCAGGACCCTGTAGCAAGCCCTGCCAGATACCACCTCCGTAGCATTTGTGCTCTTAGCTGTACTCCTAGCAGCTTTTTGGGTGCCAGTTGGCGTGACCTCCATCAAACTGAGACCATCGCCAGTAGATTTTTTTTTTTAACCTGTTTAGACTTGTAGATCCTTATCCTGAATAACCCAATTCGTGCCACCAAACGTGCGTAATGGGGGGATGTGCGAGTAGCTCCTCTGCCTCAGCCGCTGGCTCTGCGCATTGCAATAGCATGGTGCATTGAGTTTTTCATGCATCAAACTTTGAGGAGGGGAGAAGAAGAGGAGAAATTTAGCAGATACCAGCTGTCTGGTGCAGAAATAGATGCCGGCACTGCCAGAGCAGTATTCTTGGCTCGGCTCGGCATTGTTCTTGTAGCAGAGCTGCTTGCGGTAAGGTAGGACGTGGAGCGGTGCTAAGCGGCAAGAAAAAGCATGTCTCTGATTTTTCTTAAGCATCCTCAAAGAGCTCGAAACTCGTCCGGCTCAAACCAGACTCTGGTCCAGTGGCTCCTATTGAAACATACAAAGGTAAGAGGAGGGAGCGCGGTGCTCCCGGATTCCTAGTCTTCACCCAGGTGATGTGGTCCAGCAGCCTCCGACATGGAGAAGATGGGGAGGGTTTGCTATCCAAGTCATGGTTAGCTGTACATAGGAGTGCATCCTTAGGGTGAAACAATGCTTGGGAATTGCAGCAGCCAGAAGTATTTGAGCTGAAATTCTTTGGGAATTGGTCAAACAGGCAGAAGTTGTTTCACAAAGGGTCAAGATTACAACGGACTCCCAGCTCCTCCTCAGGCAGCTGTGAACCATGGGGAAACCTCTGCCCTGCTCCATCTTCCCTGGTCATCATTTCATTGAGACAAGTCACCTCCTCCAGTCACATGTGCATGCCAACCCACACCCTCCCCTCCCTCTGCCATCTTTGAATGTTTAATGCTAGAGCTTGGAACAAAACCCCAGCTCCAAGCCTTCCTCCTCCTCTCAAAAGGCTGGGGAAGCTCAGACCTGGCTGACACTGTTTCTGCTCGCGTTACCCGCTGCCCGTGCTGGCTGGGCCACCTCCTGACCAGCACAGCTGGGCCACAAGGCAACTAGGGTATCTCCTCTCCTCCTGCATTACACTTTTAAACTTTTCTTTAAACAGAAAGATCCAGCATCCTGAATCTAACACTGCAAGGTAGTCACCATCCCATCATGGTAATAAAAAGCAAACACAAGAAGCAAGTAATCAAATTCCTCTGGCTATAAATTAAACCTTGCTGGTTGTTTTCTAACATGTGCCCACAGCTGAGAGAGGTCAGCCCTGCACACCAGGGACAGTGCTCAGCCAAGTGATGGTGGCATCTCCCACCCCACCAGCAGCCTTTGCAGGTCTCCCTGTGCTGTGCCCGGCAGCCCTGGTTCAACCCCTCACGCATTTGTCCACCAACTTTTGAAGGATCCCACGCAAGCCACGCTTCCTTGCATACGCTCATTTTAAGCGTTTAACCTGAGAGTCACCATACCTCACAGCCAGCATTGATTTGGGAGGTGCAACAGCAAGGGGCATGCTGAGAAGGGACACTGAGGGGAAAAAGCCAGAAAAGTTTTACCTGGGCACACAGCAGCTTCAGCTCCACTTCAGCCTTGTCCAGGGCCTTCCCGTCGCTGGAGGCAGCGAGCGCTGCCGCACCCTCTGCCAGCCCCGTCCCATGGGCCAGTCCCCTCCTCACCACAGCCTTTGACGGAGCCTTTGCTGGGGCTCTGCACCCCAGCACAGCTCCCTCGCAGGCCCTACAGCCCCACCAGAGCCAAACCCAGGTATCAAGCTGAGCTCTGCTCATTAACAAGGCAGCTCTTTAATTAACACCTGACTCCCCTCCACAGCCCTCTGCCTGCTGCCATGATTGTGCATTTCCTTAAAGAGATTGTGTCCTGGGACAGCCGGGGGCTGGCTCCTGCCTGTCCTCACCCCAAGGGGACAGAGCCCCCTGAGCCCGCTCTGCTCTCTGAGCGATGACTTTGAGCCCGATCCCCCCATGGCAGTGAAGAACGGCAGCTGCTGCGTGCACTCATCCTGCCCAGCCCACCCCAGCCCTGTGCTGGCAGCAGCCATGGCATTCCACCCAAGCAAGAGCCTCCTCCAAAACCTCGTGGCTGCTCTCCTTTGCCCAGCACGAGGGAGGATGCTCCCAGCCCAGCTCCCCAGCTCTCTCCTCCTCTCTGCAGACTGCGAGTGCTACGGCCACTCCAACCGCTGCAGCTACATCGACTTCCTGAACGTGGTGACCTGCGTGAGCTGCAAGCATAACACGAGGGGCCAGCACTGCCAGCACTGCCGCCTGGGCTTCTACCGCAACAGCTCGGCGGAGCTGGATGACGAGAATGTATGCATAGGTGAGCGCTCCGGCAGCCTCGGGCTGAGGCACCGGGATGTGGGATGGCTCATGAGGGACCTCACTCTATGGGGTGGGCTTCAGTTCAGCCCCTCTCTGGATGGTGGTGTGCCCACCTGCATGCTCCCCAAGGACAGCAGCCATTATGGCCTCTGCAGCCTGCCAAGGCTTCCCTTCCCTGAAAACAAAGCCCAAATAATTTCTTTCCAACTTGATTCAGATTCATTGCTCTACCAGGAGCTGCTCAGCTCCAAAGCAGGGGTGATCTTTGCACCCGTGGTTGTTTGCACTGTTGGAGCCTCTCGTGAAACCATGCCCTCCCAGTCCCTCGGTCGCTAACAGCCCTCCTGTAGCATGCAGCCAGCCTTTTCCAAAGGCCCCAACGCCTCCCTTGGGGCATTAGCGGGCACAAAGCCCCCGGGCAGGACAGGCACTAACAGCCCTGTCTTTGGCCAGAATGTAACTGCAACCAGATCGGCTCCATGCATGACCGCTGCAATGAGACCGGCTACTGTGAATGCAAAGAAGGCGCCACGGGGCCCAAGTGCGACGACTGCCTGCCCAACTACTACTGGAGACAGGGCTGCTTCCGTAAGTCCCCCGGCAGCACCATGTCCCCCTGAGCCAGAGGGACAGAGGGAGGTGTGAGATAGGTCCAAACAAGAGGGGGATCTTCGGCCCCGCCTGCTTGGGTGGCCCGTGATGCTCAGGGTGTAGGGTGAGCAGACTCCAGCCATTCCTCCCAAATCCAAAATGACTTGAGAGCTTTGCCCCTGAAGTTTGTAGCCCCCACTGCGTTCCTCTGGCCTTGGGGCTGCTCTAGCGCTATGAGGGTTGGATAATTTAACCGCTAGGAGCTAGAGAAGAAAGCCAAAAGCTTCTAGTTTCTGCTGCAGTCAAGGGATTAACACCCATGTCCTTCCCTCCCTCCCACCTCGTAGCCAACGTCTGCGACGACGAGCTCCTGCTCTGCCAGAACGGCGGCACCTGCTACCAGAACCAGCGCTGCGTCTGCCCCGTGGGCTTCAAGGGGGTCCTGTGCCAGCAATCCAGGTGCGAAGCTGACAAAAAGGACTGCGACGGTGCCCCCGGCACGCGCGGCAGCCTCGGCACCATCCTCCTCGGGGTGCTCGCCCTCCAGCTGCGCGGCTGGGTGGACCTCTGAAGCCGCAGAGGAGGGAGCCCAGCCCAGGCACGTCACCCGAGGGACCTGGGGAGACTAAGGTAACGGGTGGCTCTCCGCACCGTCTCCTCCGCCTTCCTTCACGCTAGGACTTGCACAACGTCTTCTGGTCCACTTTCCAAGCAGAGAGGTATGCAGAAAATCAGGGGCTGACTCCCGCCCACGAAACCATCCTGGCAGCGGCCGGGGTGGCCGCAGCGCAG